TAGAAAGCTTTCCTATGTAGTTTTGCTAAACTAAATTGTAAGTTTGACTTTAATTAATTTTATAGTATTGTAATATGTCATTTATATGTAGCACTATGTTGTGCCATCTGCTTAATTTGTATCAAAATTATTTCAAAAAATAGATCGATATATAGAATTTATTTAAAACCCTCTTTAAAAAATTGTGATTCTAATTAAGTAATTCAAGAAATATCCATTTCTCAAATTGAAATTAGAATTTTATTACAATGATAAATTTTAATCTCTCCCGATCTTTATGTAAACTTTGGGAGTTTAAAAGTGAGTTAAATTGAATTTTGATGTGATATTGGCTATTTTAAATTGATATGGAAAATTAATGACAATTCAATATGAAATATAACATTAAATACCCATTTTAAACTAACCCATTCCGGGGTTAGGGTGGGAAATCCAAAATCTACGATAAGACGATAGTGGATTCAAATAGTGTTGGCCGAGTCAACGCAGACTTAGGTAGTGGCCGAGCTCGGGCCCAATATTTCCAAGTAGGGATCCAACTCGAGGACCTTAAAACAAATTTTAAAAAATTATAACAAACTCACATAAAAATAATCTAATTGGAACATGTTTATTTATGTGTTTCATCATTTTGGCAAAAATTGGAGAGTATTTTAGTTGACAACTTATTTTTATATTTTCTCTTTTTTTGTAAATTATTTTAAAAACACCCCAGTTGCAAACTTATTCTTCAAAATCTATTTTTTTTAGTACTTTTTTAACCTCATTTAAATGTGTTTTATTTAATCTTAGTGTAAACATATATTCCCTTTTTTTAGATTTTTTGTATCTTCTTGACTTTTTTTAACACTTGTTTGCTGCCACAATACTCAACCCAATTGGGCCGAGTACCCAGCTCGATTCGTTCATTTGTACATTGGATTAAAAAAACCAAAGAATGCATTAATCAAATCCCCATTTATAGAATTATGTTATAAATACTTTTAATTATTTTTTAATATATGTTTTTTACTTTTGATTCACGCTAGTAACTCAATTTAAATTAGTGACGTGCTCTTGGTGTAGGGCAATTACAAGTAAATCAAATAAAATAGATAGCTTTTATTGAAAAAGTATTGAAATAATTTTTCATTATTGGAAAAATAATTCACTCATTAGTACTTATTTTAATAATTATATTTTAAAAAAATAATTATATGTAAAACTGGTTCAAAAAGGCATGATTTTAATATTGTAATTTGAGAAATATTTTTTCTCAAAGTCAAAATAGAATTTTATTTTACCAAAATAAAAAATTTAATTGCTCTTAAGTTTTAGTAAAAAATCAAATTT